GTCAGAGAGAGACAGAGCATGAACGGGGGAGGGGCAGAGAGAGAGGGAGACACAGAATCGGAAACAGGCTCCAGGCTCTGAGCCATCAGCCCAGAGCCCGACGCGGGGCTCGAACTCACGGACCGCGAGATCGTGACCTGGCTGAAGTCGGACGCTTAACCGACTGCGCCACCCAGGCACCCCAAGGCTGGTTATTTTAAAGAGGGAAAATTTAGGACAAAATCTAAATGTATTTTAAAAAATTGTTGTAGGTTTATGGAGAAAGAATCTTTGGAAAGAAATGTTATGTGTGCTCAGTACTGGCTAAGATTAGGATAATTTAAGGGAACCTGGGTGGCTAGTCGGTTAAGCATCTCTTTTTTTTTTTTTAATCTTTATTTATTTTTGAGAGACAGGGCGTGAGCGGGCGAGGGGCAGATAGAGAGGGAGACACAGAATCTGAAGCAGGCTCCAGGCTCTGAGCTGTCACCACAGAGCCCAATGTGGGGCTAGAACCCATGAACGACAAATTCATGACCTGAGTTAAAGTCTGACACTTAAACGACTGTACCACCCAGGCACCCCAAGCATCTGACTCTTGATTTTAGCTCAGGATTCTGTCTGCCCTCCCCCACAACTACCTCCCCGCTCCAAAATAAGTAAATAAACTTAAAAAAAAGATTAGGATAATTTAAGTGAGTAAATGAGTTTTAACATCAAAAGTACACTGGTACAAAGTTTTGTTTTCTCTTTGTTATATGTACAGAGTTTTCTTGAACCACTGGTCTGCTTTTCATAAAAAATTGTAAACAAAAGTTTTTCTTTACCATTGAAGTATTTTTATTTTTAGGCAAACAGTGATTCTACATTTGCCAAAATAATTCCTATATTTATTAGCTCTTTGATTACTTAGTTTTTTTCTTTAAATCCTTTCATATATATTATTTTATTTATTTATTTAATGTTTTATTTATTTTTGAGAGATAGAAACAGTGTGAGCAGGGGAAGGGCAGAAAGAGAGGGAGACACAGAATCTGAAGCAGGCTCCAACCTCCGAGCTGTCAGCACAGAGCCCGACGCAGGACTTGAACTCACGGAGCTGTGAGACCATGATCTGAGCTGAAGTTGGATGCTCAACTGACTGAGCCACCCAGGTGCTCCTGCTCTTTGATTACTTAAGAACATTAGCCTTAATATTAAAGGAACTAAATTTTGCTCACAACTATGTGACCTTTGTCTTTGAAATCTTCCCTTGTCACTTTGGTTAAATAGATAATTAAATATTGTTTCATAATGATCCATAATCCCATTTAATCAAATGTTCAAACCTTTTGATATTTTTTTATATATATTTCCCAAAATCAAATTCTAACATGGAGTCTGTTAACCACAATCTAGCTGAAACTTTCCAGCAAGCCCCTGGAACATTCCAAAAAAAAATTTTTATGAGAAATTAAACTAATGAGATTTATTTGGTATGTTAAATTACATGGAAAATATTGTCAAATATGTGATATTAAACTCTCTTTTATAATATTCATATAGATATGTTATTAAAATAAGTTTCAAAAAATTATATGAAACATCTAGAAATCTGATGTCCTGCTTGTGTTATTATCTTGAAGTGCTGTATGTCACAAAAATGACCAAATTTCCTTGTCAACTGCATCGTAATGAACTCTAATGAGATCTTTAGCCATGGCCGTTTTTAAGTCTTCTATCATTTACAGACAGTTATACTTTCACTAAGATGCCTTTGTAAGTTTCCTGCAAATGTGCTTCATCTTCAGTGAGACTCATGAAAAAGCAAAACAAAACCTCTGAATACAGGTTTCTGATAATCTTAGATCATAAAACTGAACTAGGTAAAAATTTCCAGAACTAGTAGAAAAACCGGATTCAATCAGAACAAGAATTAATAACATGGGGCGGGGGAGGGGCAAATAAATTGAGGCAGATAATCTTACTTTTTATGACTTATTTGAAACATTGCTGACATTTTTTAAAGTGTTTTTGTTTTTTCCAGATTTAAGAAAAATGTTCATCTTAAGCTAACTGATTTACAGCAATTAGATAAAATATACCTTTGTGGACAAATGGAAACATTTATCTTTTCTCTCTACCTGAACCCTCCAGAATTCAGAAACTCTCAGTGAGTATTCTTATATTTTTGTGGTGATCTGTTTATTTACATAAGTCCAGTTAAGAATTTTTCTCTTTATGACAGGACACAATTGGAAACACTGGTTATATTACCAGGGCTTTGACTGGAATGTTCTATTTGAGAGAGACATGCATAGACTCAGATCTGACCAGACAACTTTAGGTAGCTAATGTTGACTTTATGGAGCCAATAAAGCCTCTTGGAAGTATCAGCCTGATACTTTGCTTACAGAGTTCCCAGCAGCCTTACCAAGTGAGTAGAGATCACTTCCAGGCAGGAGCAAGAATCTCATGTTTGGCGGACCTTAAGTAGAGAGGAATTCAGGGGCGCCTGGGTGGCTGGCTCAGTCAGTTAAGCGTCTGACTTCGGCTCAGGTCTTGATCTTGCAGTTCATGGATTTGAGCCCCACATCGGGCTCTGTGCTGACAACTCAGAGCCTGGAGCCTGCTTCGGATTCTGCGTCTCCTTCTGTCTCTGCCCCTCCTCCACTTGTGCTCTGTCTCTGTCTCTGTCTCTCTCTCTCTCTCTCTCAAAAATAAATAAGAACATTAAAAACCAATTTTTTTTTTTAAAGAAGAGAGGAATTTATCCCCATTCAAAGATCTTACGACAAGATCTGATAGCAAGTGTTTGGCTTGGCTTCTAGTTTCAAGAGACTATTAAAAGTTCAATCTAGAGATCTAATGAAAAGTTCCAGCAAAGCAGGCTTTTATTATTTTTTTTTTTATTTGAGAGAGAGAGAGAGAGAATGCAAGCAGGGGAGACAGAGAGAGAGAGAATCTTAAGCAGGCATCACATTCAACATGGAGCCCAACCCCACAACCCCAGGATCATGACTTGAGCCAAGAGTCAGGCACTCAACCGACTGAGACACCCAGGTGCTCCAGGCAAAGCAGGTTTTAAACGGTCTATATGGTCAACCATTATTCTTGCTGCATGTATGTAAGGAATCAGGCCAAGTTCTTTCTTAAAACTAAAATTATTTTGCAAACAAATTATTGATAATTTGACTATTTGGGTAAAAAATGATAAAAATGATTATAGAGAAAAAAGTGTTTCAAAAACACATCCTTGTAGATATTCCATTTTAATACTACTCAGTATAAACTAGACTAGAAATCCTAGATTTCTTCTAGTGCCCTCCAATGGCTGGCTACAACTCTCCAAACTAGCATTCGGCTTTTTCTCCCACCTTTCTGACTTGGAATCATTTGAAAACTAAAACTGCCCTTTTCCCAAAAGCCCTGCAAACTAAATATAAATGACGTGATGTAAACTTCCGAGAAATTGCCATAACAGCTCATGAATAGACAATCTTCATGCCTGTTGCTCAAAGAACATTAGAGACATTTGATCTACAAACCAGCTCCGTCGGATTGCCAGCACCTGCCCTCACTCTATCTGAAGATCCTTGAATCTGACACTTACAAGCTTCCTCCATTGGTTCCCCTAACAACTCAGAAACTGGCTTAACAGTTGATCCAGCCATTAGCTGGTGTTTTTCTTTTGTTTCCATAGAAATGCCTCTTACTTAACATGTGATTATTGAACCATAGGCCTAACGTTGAGAACACACCTGAAATGAGTTTGACCAAACTAACCTACTGCCGGGACTAGCAGACTAGTCCAATGCCATGAAACAACCTACTGGCTCAAATTTTAATGTGTGAAACTTTAGAGAAGTTACAGTTCAGAAACTGTAGAGGCCGCAGCCAGGTGGCCCCAAGATGAATCACTGTGTCATGAAGATTATTCTGAGCTGAAGGCAACTGAGATCCTGCAGGCTCAAGAGGCACTTTTGCCCCTCCCTTAACTACCTAGAAAAATCTAAATTGAGGGGCTGCTGTGCTCCGCTGAGCCTATGTTTCTGAGCTCTCTGCTGCAATGAGCTTCCTCAAAAGTTTACCACATCCCTGGGGTGCCAGGGGGGCTCAGTCAGTCTGTTGAGCATCTGACTTCGGCTCAGGTCATGATCTCACCATTGGTGAGTTGGAGCCCCACACTGGGCTCTGTGCAGACAACTCAGAGCCTGAAACCTGCTTCAGATTCTGTCTCTCCCTTGCTCTCTCTGCCCCTCCCCTGCTCATGCTCTGTCTCTCTCCCCCTCAAAAATAAATAACATTAAAAACATTTTTTTTTTTTTCAGTTTACTGAAGCCCCAGTCAGCGGAGGGGCTCCAGCAGCAATAGTCAGATTCCCCAGGCTGGGGAAGGGCCTCTGCATTAGCACCCCTGACAACACCAAAAGCTGCATGTCTTGGTTAGATAGCTCTGATTAGGATTCTCATTGGAATACTCTGCCGTTAGTGTGCATGTGGTATCCAGGGACCTAAAAGTCTATCCACCATGAGCATTTGTATGTTACAGTGAATGCCAAATTGGGAGAAGAATCAAAAGAATCTGTTGCTGATGAAGAAGACAGTGATGAGGACACTGAACCTATTGCTGAATTTAGATTTGTGCCTCATGATAAACCGGGTTGGAGGCAGCGTTCACTGCAATGTGTGAATGCCAGGCTTCGTGTCCAGATCCTGAGGATGAAGATTCAGATGATTATGAGGAAGAATATAATGTAGAAGCAAATGAGCAAGGGCAGGGGACATCCCTACATTTTATATCTATGAAGGAGGATTATCCCAGGAGCACCCGGTGGCTTAGTCAGTTGGGCATCCGACTTCGGCTCAGGGCATGATCTCACAGTTTGTGAGTCTGAGCCCCAAGTCGGGCTCTGTGCTGACAGTTCAGAGCCTGGAGCCTGCTTTGGATTCTGTGTCTCTCCCTCTCTCTGCTCCTGCTCATGCTCTGTCTCTCTCTGTCTCTCAATAATAAATAAATATGTGTTAAAAAAAAAAAAAGATTATCCCATATAACAGCAGAAGGCCAAGCTACATTGGAGAGATTAGAAGGAAGTCTTTCTCAGTCTGTGCAGCCCATATAACATGGCTGGAGCATGGACAGAAGAGTCAATAAGAGATTATAAAGATGGGATGGAGGTAGATACTACACCAACAGTTGTTGGCCTGTTTGGAGATGCAAATACTCACCACTGAAAATGATTTATGCTGCTTTGGAATTGTCATAAATATAGAAGAAAACTTGGTGCCTCTTCCACTGTGGAGTGGATGTTGATGAAAGTCTTTTTCCTTCTCTAAAACTTACCTGAACCCGTCCTTTTTTTTTTTGAAACAGACCATACTGAGACAAGTTGTCACCAGCAGAAGAAACTATGATCTTTATTTTAAAAGGTGCATTAATTTAACCAAGAGGGTATTTGTAGATTTCCATTTACACCCCCCCCCAAACTTTCTGTATATGGGGACCCTCTGTTCAGGCCTGCAGTTCCTGCCTGCACTATAAGCTTGCAGGTGGATGTGATGACAGCACGCAGGTGCTTGAAGGTACAGGAACACTGGAGGAAAAGGGGAGGGGCTGAGTCTAAATTCTACCCCTTGAGGGGCTAAAAATACCTAACACCCTTTAAAAAGAAAGAGATCTCCGAGAAATCCTGGCATTTGCTCATTCTCCACAGGGGCAAGTGTCTTTTTACTAACTTGGGACCAAGATTAATTCACTCACATATCTTTAGGGAGCCTGTTGGGAAACATCCTAGCCACACATATAACTACTAACACAAGTACTTCTGACTAGTTTTACTCCTTCCACAATGTTTCACCAATCTGTTCCTTTATAACCTCTTGGGTTATATCCTTGAATTTCTAATGTCTTAGGTCAGTTTCTGTAACAGAACAAGTGAAATCGAGATGAAGTCCTCAAAGTACTTCAGATGATAACTGTTTTTTATCTTTGTAATCATTTAACAAAAAAAAATTTAGGTTTTCTCCCCCCAAAAAAAAATCTAAATTGGGGATCTTGTTCAGAATAAGAGTTATTACCAGAGATACATGTTATCTGAGTGATCCATCTGTCTGGCAAGGCAAACATCTAATTTCCAAACCTTTGTTCTTCTTATTGGCCTGTGAATTGCCCTCTGCACTTTTGAATCCCTAGGTCCCTCTCCCATTCCTTTGCTTAGGGTGGCATGTACCTCATTTTACCTTTCTGTCTTTGAATCTCTCATGTGTGTAGGGTTCCTGTACATACAAAATTAAGTTAGATTTTCTCCAGTTAATATGTCTCCTGTCAATTTCATTCTTAAACCAGCCAGAAGAACCTTCAAAGGGTGGAGGAAAAATTTTTCTTTTCAACCGTGTTGGCAAGGGAACTCTCTTGCTCAACTACAGACCACAACAGTTAAAACCAGAAATAGACAAGGCCACTTAACTCATGCTCTAATTGAAACCCATTGTGTTTATTTCTCACCACACTTTCTTGAGGCATTGAAGACGTTTTCCAACCACCACACCAGAAAAGCCCTGATAGCAATGGAATGCCTAGAAGACTATACCCATAATAATGGACTGAACACATACTGAGCCCCACCCATGATCACTGAACTCTCTGCCTGACCTCTTGCCTGTCCCCCCACCCCAACCTCTTCTTATAATACTCTAGGTGTCCCTCTTGCCCGTAGAGAGGTCAGTTGTTAAGGCTTGAGCCTGTCACAGCTGACGACACCGAAAATAAATTTCTTCCTTTCTCTTTTCCAAACCCTTGTCTCTTGAGTTAGTGGCTGCTCTTGTGATGAGTGTATCCAAGTTTTCTGGGCAGCAGTGTTGGCAAACCCAGCAGGGAGCTATGCTTTCGATTTGCCCAGCTTTCTGGGGAGTCCCCAGTGGAGCAGTTGGCTCCAGTAGTGTGCTGGGCTTCTCGAGCTTTCCTGAGTTAGAAGCCGTGATAGCAAAGGGACAGTAGACATAGCTATGGTGACAATGCAGCCATGGGGCTGTTTTCTCACTAAATATCGTTTGCCCATACTAATCCCACATTTTGAAAGTGTCCGTCTTCCAAACAAATTTCTTTTATCATGTCATAAACTATTTACATTTCCATGTATTTCAGTTAAAGAATGCTAATGAGATCTTCTGATCTGCAGAAAGGGTCATAGATTGTTTCATTTGAAGGCAAAGACCTTTTTTTTTTTTTTTTTTTTTTTTTTTAGTTAATGAGTACAACCTTATCATAAAAGTACAATTTCTGGAGGCACCTGGGTGGCTCAGTTGGTTAAGCGTCTGACTCTTGATTTTGGCTCAGGTCATGATCTTCGGGTCTGTGGGTTCAAGCTCTGCATTGGGCTCTGGGCTGACATCTCAGAGCCTGCTTGGGTTTCTCTCTCTCTGTCTCTGTCTCTGTCTCTTTCTCTCTGTGTCTCTCTCAAAATAAATAAACTAAAAAAAATTTTTTTAAGTACAAAGTCTGTAGAAAATACTGAAAATGGATGAAAGGCCTTTCTTAGTGCCCTGGAGGACATGTAAGAATCCTAGGATAGCAGGTGGGTAAACTTTGATCCAGGATTTGAAATAAATAGGAAATAGATTTATTTGGAAATGAAAAGAGAGAAGAGATTCTACTCAAACTATACTTATTAAATGACTGAAGAGTGAAATCTCTGAAATATTTGGGAACACGATCACTCAAGGAGAGAACTGCATGGAGTAGATTGCATTTTACATTTTATAAGATAATGCTTTACAAAGCTGCAGTCTTTTGCACTTAGAGCTACTGCTAATTGAGCAATAGAATACACCTGCACTAAGGCTTGTTAAAAGGAAACAGATCCCAAATGGAGTGATTTATGTTAAACTCCACCGAGACTTAATATCTAACTTAACTTCAGTTTCTGCCTCTCCAGGGAGTGGAGTTAAACCAGTCAGTCTGGAATTTTTTGTTCAGCCAGTGAAGTCACCTTCGTGAAGAGATCTCCTGCTTCTCCCCCTAGGGAAGGTGACCTCGCCTGAAACCATCCTTTCTTTTCTTTTGCTAATAACTTCCTTGCCCCACCCTCTTTTCTGCAGAACTACTGTATACAACTCCTCAGACTTTTCTAGGTGGGACGTTGCTCAATTCAGGAATCATTGAATAAAGCCAATGCGATCTTCAAATGTACTCAGATGAATTTTTATTATTTAACAGGCTTAAACTATGTATTTAAAGGTTTCAATAGAGGATCCAGATAACTGAGAAACAACAGATTCTTCAGGGGCACATGGCTTGTTTGTAAGGACCTTGGGTCTCGATGTTCCCCGTGTCAAGGAGTCCTGATCACATCCTGTTTGCCTGAGGTCACCTTGATGTGCCAAAGTAGGACAAAGTCTTTGTCCCTGTAGCAACAGATGTGTGTCACTGTGGAGTCACGACAGCCAACCCCCATATGTTGGGCAGCGGCAGGGACACAGGGGCTTACGATGGTCACTGCTCCTGATTTCCCAGGTGGGAAAAGGCAGGAGGCCAGCCCCGGACAACTTCTTTGTTGCTGCCAACAACAAGTAGTTGGAAGTAGTCATGCTCTCGGTATCCTCCGGGGTAGCATGAGTTGCTGAGGGCGAGGCTGATGTCTGAGTCTCGCGGGACGGTCTGGATCTCCATGTGGGAGCTGGGTGACTGCCACCAGCCAGCCTCAGCAGTTCCCAGAAGTCTTTTTGCACTAAAACTGCGGTAGGTGACTGTCAGCCTCCAATGACCATCTCAAGTGACCTCAAGGAGAAACCAAAACCGAGAACCAGAAAACCAGTTAAGTGGAGGCATACAGGCAATATTTTTGAACAGATAGGATAGAAACAATTCATGAAGATGACCTAAGGGTTTTCAGGTGTCTAAGTGAAAATCAGTAACCTTAATATTTATAACCAAACAAATTATACTTTGTCATGTCATTTGGAGAACTGTTTGCAAGCTTGTATACCCCTTCCCCTTTCACATACAATTCCCAGGAAGCAAACGAACTTCAGTGCTGTTCTTCAGGACAATCTGAAAGACGGTCTCCGGGGCTACCCAGCTATCGTCCTCAGGAGGACAATGAATAAAGCATTTACTAACCTACTTTGAGGTTGGCTTTTTTTTTTCTTTCCACTGACACTTCCAGAGTGGACAGCGGAAGAAGTGAAACTTTTGCCTCACAGCTAACGTCAACACAGTCTTTCTTGGGAAATGCAGAAGAAAAGCTTTCAGAACAAACAACCCACTCCATTCTTTATATGGTAAATAAACCAGCTTCTTGCTAGAGAGAGCTTAAGACATCAGTGAAATAAAATCCTGCCTTTTTCTGGCCTGGGGGGCAGGGAGTGGAACGAGGAGGAGGAGGAACGAAGGGAGGAAGCCTAGGAGTTCAGAGGAAGAAGAAGGAGGCAGCAGAGGCCAGAGTCCTGCCCAGATTCCTCAGGCAGGCAGGACTGCAGACCTTCACCACAGGTCTGTGTGATCCTGGGTGAGGCATTCAATCTCTCTGTGCCTCACTCCTATTAGATGGGAATGACAGGGGATCCTGACTGGCTCAGTCTGAAGAGCACGTGATTCTTGATTTTGGGGACGTATGTTTGAGCCCCACGTTGGGTGTAGAGATTACTAATATATATTATATTAATTAATAATTATATCAATAATCATATTAATAATATATTATACGAATAGTATATAATATTAGTATAATATATTCTAGTATATATATTATATATTAGTATATATAATATATATACTAATATTATATATGTAATTAATATATATAATATATATATAGTAATAGCACATCTTCCTCACAGGGTTGTGGTGAGAATTAAATCATGCAAAGCATGTGTTCAGCCTCATGTACTTATAGACTAGTATCATTACATGTGTTAAATAAATAAAGTGAGGGACTTAGGACTCCAGAGGGAGTGTCTTAGGCTGATAGGCAAATTTAACTAGGTGGAGCCATGTGGTTAGGCATACAGAGAGGCTGCTTTTTAGCTTTCCTGGGTGACCCTGGTACTTGAGTGATACAGACAGGACCCAGAAGTAGCCGAGAACTTCACAGGAAGTCTGGCCTGAGTGGTTCCCTGTGGCTGGTTCTCTACGCCAAGGATGTGGGGGTTGTAGCCATAGCTCAGAGGACTCTAGCTTCCCAGTGAAAACAGATGTGGGTCCAACAGAGACCTGATCATGAATTCTAGCAGCTTCAGTTTTCATCTGGGAACACCCCCAGGGTCAGAAGAAGCAGAGGTACCATGATCCTCACCAGCCAGCACCTGAAGGACAAGGCCTAAGCCTCCCTGCCCCCAACCCCCTTCCACATTACGAAGAAGCAGGGGAGAGGAAAGCCTCGGAGACTCCGGACACTTTAACCCAAAGTAAAGCCTAAATATTCGCTAAAGAGACTGTTTAATTTACAGGGTTTATCTACATTTTGTCCAAATTGAACAACTAATTTTGCCCCACGACGAACTGGTGTGTGTATGGGGGAGAGGAAAGATGTGTTGGGTTGCAAAGGCAAGCAGGTCAAGTACAAACAAAACAAAGAAACTGATGCGGGAGCAGTAAGGCAAGCTGACACCCTGCAAACAAGCAACCCCAGGTGGGATTTGTGGTATTCCTCAGGCACTCCAGGCTGCCCAAGAACAAAGGAAAGGACAGGAAACAAATGGTTAAACTGCTAGTGTCTCCATCAGTTTACAAATATCTCATCAAGAGCCTAATCTCCATGAACTCCCTACTATCTTAATCATAATGCTTTAGTAGAGGGAAAAACAATAGCTGGGTCTCCAGCAATGTGTAAATCCTCTTCAGCAAATGGAAATCCCTTTGAGAACCTTCCTCTTGACTTGACCTCCCCCAATCCCACAGTATATAAGCAGTCATTCTGCAGGACTCCAGGGCAGGTCTTCCTGCCCACAGTCCTGTCCCCGTGCTTTAATAAAATCACCTTTTTGCATCAAAGACATCCTCAAGAATTCTTTCTTGGCTGTCGGCTCTGAACCCCCATCAACACCCCAACACCCCATCCAAACTACCTTTTCTCTGCACAACAGTGGGTAGCACCCGGTGATTTAGACCATGATACACAGTCAAACATCAGAATGTGCAACACATTTGCCTCCTATTTCTCTCCTTCCCAATGTCTTCATTAAAAAGTGAATGGTCTAATTAGTGCCTGTGCATGGAGGCCCAATTCTGGGAGAAGAGGTCTGTGCCACACATGAAGTCTCCTTTCCAGTGGTCCTCACGGCTGAGGCAGCTGATGTCCCCAGGGCCCTGCCAGTCAGAACAGGGGTGGAGTTTCCACAGCCCTGGTTAGCAGTGGGAGGGAACGGCCAAGGCCTCAGAGGAAGAGGAAGCAAAAAACAGAAAAGGGACAATTTTTTTTTTTAAAGAGAGCTTGGAAAAGAAAAAGAACTAAGAGAAGTCTGAAAGGGGGCTGGGCAAAGGAGAGAAAGAGAGAAGAAAGAGAAGAGAAGAGAAGAGAGAAGGAAAGGAAAAGAAAAGGAGAAAAGAAAGGAAGGAGTAGCTATTATGGAGAATACTTGGAGACGCCTCAAAAAATTAAAAATACAAATGCCATATATGATTCCACTATTGGGTATTTACCCAAAGAAAACAAAAACACGAATTTAAAAAGATCTATGCACCCTTATGTTTACTGCAGTGTTATTTACAACAGCCAAGATAAGGAGGCAACCTAAGTGTCCATCAATAGAGGAGTGGATAAGGAAAACGTGGTATGTGTGTTTGTATTTGTATATGTAACAGAATATTACTCAGCCATAAAAAAGAATGAGATTGTGCCCTTTGAGACAACACGGGCAGACCTAATGGGTATTATGCTAAGTGAAATAAGTCAGACTGAGAAAGACAAACACCATGTGATTCCACTTAGATGGGAATCTAAAAAAGGAATAAACAAAAAGCAGAATCAGACCTATAAATACAGAGAACAAACTGCTGGTTGCCAAAGGGGAAAGGGGTGGGGGACGGGCAAACTGGATGAAGAGGAGAGGGAGCTAGAGGCTTCCAGTTATGGAATGAGTAAGTCGCGGGAATAAAAAGCACAGCATAAGGAATATAGTCAGCAATATTGTAATAGAGATGTAACAGGACAGATGGTAGCTGCACTTGTGGTGAAGACAGCATGATGTATAAACTTGTCAAATCGCTACGTTGTACACCTGAAACTAATGTAACTGTGTGTCAACTATACTCAGATAAAGAAAAGAAAGGTGAGAAAATAATAATAATAAAAAGAACACAACACCATGAAGCTAATAAAAAGAAAATAGAAAGGTAGCAAGAGAAACAGAATGCCTGAAATTTGGAATCAAAAACAACCCACGATGTCGAGAAAAGCAGACAGTGTGCAGGAACCATGAGTGAAGAGGCGGAAGGGAGGAGGAGAGAGGTGAGCGATGAAGAGGAAACCTGAAGAACAACTGCAAGGTAGGGGACCAGCACGGGGCTGGGGGCAGGAGGCTGTGTCCCGCGGGGCACACCAGGGTGGGAAAAGATGAGTGTGGCAGGAAACCTGCCTGAGGAACCCGGGACCAGCCCAGCGGCAGGGGACTGGCTGGTGAGGAAGGGGAGCCCAGCGCTCGCCAAGGCAGGTTCTGAAGGGGGAGCGCATTCTTTCGGAGGAAAGGGCTGGGATGGAGAGATCACCTGCTGCTGGGTGGCCTTTCACATTGAGCAGCCTGCCCTTGCGCTAAACCACTCAATGGTGCGCAGAGGTTGTGATGCCACCGCACTGGTATTTCAGTTATTTCTTTTTACTGAACCCGGAAGACTCGGATACATAGAGCGGCAGGCTGGGAGCGCCAGGCCTGATGCCTTCATGGCATCCTTCCTCCTCCATAGATACACAGACAGATGATAGATAGATACATACATAGATACACAGATACACACACATATATATAATACGTAATATATACATATTTGTATATATGTTATATATATAATAGATTTGTTGGTAAAAAGCAAATATATTTGATATATCTTACATAAAAGCCATGTGTAAAGCATATATAAATGGCATGTATATGAAATATATATAAAATATAGATCATATTGCAATGCCCGAATTGCAAAACCTCCAAATGTAATGCCCGAATTGCAAAACCTCC